TTTTTGCACTGAAAATGTTGCGCAAATTGAAATGCAATCGAGGCAAAGCGGATTACTGAAAAACTTTTATGATTGAATTCTGCTGCTGGCCCTTGCTACCCCACCCCTTGTTGGCAGTAGCTTTCGAGAACTTAATTCGCAGAGCAGCAGCCTACTGTGTGCTGTGTGTGCCCGTTCCTCCCCATATGCGCTTGCCAAAAAACAAGAAACACAAAATAAAAAGAGGAAAAAGCGGAATATAGAGAGGGCAAAACCCTCTCCATCCAGTTGGCGTTGCAACGATTTATATTTTGCTACTTTCGCTATAAAAAATAAATATGCAATAAAACAAAACGACAACGGGCCCCGCCGACATATGCATTATGGTCCTGCCGCCTCGCCTCGCCTCGCCCCGCCTCACTCGCTCAATCTCCATGGGAATATTTTTGCTAGAAAACGAAGACATAAACTTCCCCAAATGTATGTGTGGCATGGCGCATTTGGCAGCAACGGAACGAGGGAACAGGCCCAAGACCAAGACAAAGGCATTCCTAAATGCCAGTAGCAGAGCGCAGATCAGGATATGTACATATGGTGGGCTGGCTGGCTGGCTGGCTGGCTGGGAGGGCCACAACAGGGCGTATACGTATTGTTGTCCTAAATTGCGCTCTCAGCTGGCGCACGACTTGACTGCATCTTCTGCTGCCATTTGGCATGCAGCAGAAGACCTCGCCAAAAAGGGGAAGACAGTCAGGCAGGGGGAGGTTTCGTTCGATGGGAAGGCCACTTTATGAAGCGCGCATATGTTGCACCCCTTTCAGCAAGAGGAGGGAGCGGGTAGAGGCAGGGCTGAAGGGTGTGGGTTGTATAATAAAAATGAAGGACTCTTTGGCCCATGTACTCCCCAGGCAAATCACTGCAGTCGCCTCAGCCGTCTGAGGCGAACGGCAATAAAGCAAATCGTTTGACATTTGTTTTGATTTTCCATGATTGTTAAAAATATCCTGCAGCCAAAAGATGTAGCCTGCTGGGAAAGGAGTTTAAGCAGAAAGAAGCCAACAGAAATGTTCATTTGAAACTGTTTACCATTGAGCATTTAGTGGAATTGTAATGTGAAAATCCTGCAGACACTTTCCTCACTTTCTTGCCCCATTTAGCAAGCTTTCCACAGCTGTAATTCTACACCACAACTCCATCCAATTGTGCATTTAAAATGTACTTATCCAATCTATTAGCTTTCGCCACTAATTCCTTTGGGCACTTTGAATTCAATAATAATAATCCACAGCCACAGTCTCGCTCTACTCTGGGCAAACTCTCTTGTAATTGCATTTATCATGTGAGCACTGGACCTGTCTGACCCTTTTAGGCAACTCAACTCAAACTCGGGGAAAGTTCCTTATCATAATTCAGAAGACAATTAGCCAGACATTGCCCTTACTCTGGACTTGCATGCTGCATGGCATTGCAGTTTCGATGGCGGAAAACTTGGTCTGCTCTCTGGAGAGCTGCTGCCTGCCTGCCTGCCTGCCAGAGCTACTTAAAGTTTACAGCCAGCCGCAAGGGCCAAAACAATGCCAGACAATAATTAGCCAAATTTATTGTAATTAGCCGCACCGCACACGCAGGGACCGACCCCAAGCATATGTGACCAGAGAGAGAGAGAGGAGAGAGAGTCGATGTAATTATTATCATTACAGAAGGAAGCTTCTTCGGGGGAGGATTCTGGCCAAGAGCGTGTGTCACATGTGTGCGTAGCGAGCTGAGAACGCATTTAATTGCACAAAGCCTCTTTGCACTTAGAGAGTTTTTAAATAATTTAGTTGTGTCGTTAGCGAAAAGCTGTCCAGGAGTTGCCTCTGTCAAAGACATGTGGCAAAAGAACACGGAAAGGCAGAGGCAAAGGCAAAGGCACAGGACCAGGACCAGCCTGCGACACGGACAGGACGTAATGCAGTCGAGTCACGTCATACAGCATGTCGCTAATTTTGCTACCTTTTTTTTTCTCAACTTTCTTTCTTTCAGTCTTTTGGGGGCAGAAAGTTTCTTCTTTCACTGCAATGCGCTGGAACAAATGTTGCTTCCCTTTTTGGGTTCTCTTTTTGTTTGTTTGCGTGCGGTGCAGTACAGGGTATTCAAAGTGGTGGAGAGCTGCAGCTTAGCTTAGCTTAGCTTAAAGTTCGCTTTTTGCGCATAAATTGTTGGCAAAAAGAAAAGGTAAAGCCTTTTGTCGAAAGTGCTGTACAGTCAGCACACACATGCCACAAGTGCGGCTCACCGCTCGGCGCACGTTTCCTTTCTGTAAACTTTATTATTTCGTGATAAAGTAAATAAACTTAGCTCCGATCTCTGCCGCTGACTCTGCCAGTGCTGCTGCCACTGCTGCTGCCTCTGCTGCTGCAATGGGGCAGCCGTGGACTGGTGGCACCTTTCACATTGTTTGCCATTTGCGGTGGATGAGCGGCTGGGGGAGGAGGCGGTGCGACGACAGCCAGTCCAAATTGAAATTGGACATTAGACGTTTCCACAACAAGCACATAAATACACACACACACACATGCAGACACTTACGCTCAAAGAGAGATACACGGAAACATACTCGTACATAAAAATGGCAGCTTCTGTCGTCGCCGCCGCGGCTGCTGACAACTTTCACAAACACACAAACACACACACACACATACAGCTGTAGGAAATGTCGAGGCAGAGGCACACACAGTCTCATTGTGAATGACAACGCCCCTGGTACGTGATTTCATTTCCGCTTCTGCTGCCTTTTGTGCACTGCACTCGTCGTAACTTGACTCCTTCTGCTCCTGCCCTGCCCTGCCCTACACTCCTCTCTACACCACTCTCTCAGCTCTCAGCTCTGCTGCTCTCGCTGCTCCTCCTCTCGCTCTCTTCGCGTCTGTGCTGCCTTCGCCTCTTATTTTCGTTGCTGGCACCCCAAAAATTAATATGCCAGTGCATAAAAAGAAGGCAACGACGAAGCTGCGACACGACTAAATGTGACTAACTGTAAGTGGGCTATGGAGCCATCAGCCATAGGAGTGCTCTAAATACATGCTCCGTGGGTGGGGCGGGGGCGGGTTGGGGAAAGGGGATGCGTGCCTGTGTCCACACACGGCTAGAGGAGAGAGTCGAGTCGAGCTCTTGGCTGGTTGGCCGGCGAACTAGTTTTGCCCTGGCTCCGCCCCGCAGCGAGAGGAGTTTCTACACTTGAGAACTTACGAATAAAATATCTATGCATTGCCCACTGAAACCACTTCCGATTCAACGTTTCCTTCAAAGAATTATTTCATTTATGCACAAATTCTACAAAATATTAAGCGAAGAATTTAACACAAAACGAAGACCCTTAATAGGTGTGTGTGTGAAGCAGCGTTTTCTTCCAACAGCCAGAGGTTAAATTTGTTAGCAAATAGAAGCTCGAAAGACGCTCAAACTAGTTTGAAACCTGATGTCATTCAACAATGTAAATATAATTAATGAATAACCCACACACAACCTTTGCATGGCCATCATAATTACAGGAAAGAAAATAAACAAATGACACAAAAAAAAAACCCCCCCAAGAAAACAATTCAAAGTCAAGGCCGAAAAGATGAGGCAGAAAACCAGTTGGGAGTAGCTGTGACAGCCGAGTGTACACTCTAGCATGGAGAGACAATGCTTTAATGGGGATAAATCTGATTAAATTGATAAAAGCGGGCCAAGAAGAGACAAAATCGGAAGCCATTTGCCATGCAAATGATGAAAAAGAAGAGCCAACATGGGAAAGATCAACAGATGCAGAAAAAAGTCTCGGCCACAGGCCACAGGCCACACGCTGAATAAACTATCAGCACACAAACAATAAAAACAAGCAAATTAAGCAACAAGTTTTTTTTTTGGTTAATGTTTGACTTGGTGTGGGCCATGAATTTCGCTTATTAACTCGTTTGCACTTGAAGGCACAACGCCCCAGAGAGGACAAATGAATCATAAGTACTCGTAGTTGAGAGCCAAGCAGTGTCCACTGCACTTGGGAGGACGGCAGGAGCGCACAGGGAGACAAAGATCAAGGCGATAAGTCACAGTCCACATTCGGATATGAAATATATGTTGAAATGTGTAGAATAATGGAGAGGCGAGTGCGGCTATTGAGGAAATAACTTACATGCCGCGCAGAGTGATAAATTTGTATAATTATAAATGAAATTTTGTTTGCCAGTCTTTCGTGATGTTTTTTTGGTGGAATCTTCTCTTCTGTGTCAGAGCATCATTTATTTATGGAAACGTTATACCACCATAAATAGGAGAACCTTGAGACAGTCAAGCGAATCAATATGTTCAGGTTCGGACGTCACAGCCAGACCCATTTTAACGACCATAATAATCATAAGGGAACCGGTTTTCAGCTGGCCAATTAATTGACTGGCCAAGAAAGGGTTCGTTAGATCAGTGCGCCATGGTTTAAAATAAATTTGGAATAAATTAGCCAGTCTGCAAGAACAAACAGCGAGGGTGTGGGGAAGTCCAAGATGTCCATAAAAAAGTTGTTTAGTTTTGTGTTTATTTTCAATGTAGAACAATGGCTTCGCTTCTAGCTAAACTTTGCTTATAGAATAGTCATTAAAGTGCCAACCAGTTTCAGCGTCTGCATTCGTGTCCAGCGAATATTTTATTGCAAATTTCCGGCTACACCCTGAGCAGCAGGCAAGTGCCAAAATATCCATCCATCTGGGCAACATTCTGCTGAGATATCGGACTAATGACACTGCTAAGCAGATCGAGGATCGATCAACTGGACAATCGTCTTTCCATACGCAGGCGGCAGACGTGAGCCAATAAACCAATTAAACGTAAACACACAAGAAAACATAACAAACGCTACTTTATTCGGCTTTGAACGGCCCCCAAAGACAAGATCCCCAGCCAGCCATCATCCACTTTGAATATTCAGAGATTTTTGGCCTGCCAACCGCCGACGCTCTTCAGGTTTCTTCGTGGCTCGAAGAACCTCTGACTTGGATCTTGGATCCGCCGTTCGCGGATCTGCCGATTGTATAAATAGTTTGCATCGCCCAACAGTCAGGCAGAAGCGATTCAAAGCTTGTGTTGTAGACATCATGGTAAGCAGTCACGCAGATCCTCTCAGTCGCTACGATCGATCAGGGATTACCAAAAAAGGATTATCTCTAATGTTACTCATCTTTCTGTAGAAATTCCTGGCTGTTTTCTTTGCCGTCGTGGCCTGCGCCTATGGCGATGTTTCCCATCTGGGTTACGACTACTCTCCCCCGGCACCCGTCCAGGTGTACCAGCCAGCCCCGGCTCAGGTTTATCAGCCAGCTCCAGCTCAGGTGTACCAGCCAGCTCCAGCTCCGGTCTACCAGCCAGCTCCAGCTCCGGTCTACCAGCCAGCTCCAGCTCCGGTCTACCAGTCCGCACCAGCACCCATCGAGATCCAAGCTCCAGTCGAGATCCAGGCTCCAGTTGAGATCCAGGCACCCATTGAGATCCAGGCTCCTGCTCCAGTCAACAGCTACATTCCCCCTGCAGCACCAGCACCAGTTGTGATCCAGGCACCCGCTCCGGTCTACCAGCCAGCTCCCGCTCCGGTCTACCAGGCAGCTCCCGCTCCGGTCTATCAGCCAGCTCCCGCTCCGGTCTACCAGCCAGCTCCTGCCCCAGCACCCATCCGCATCCCAGCTCCCGCGCCCGTGCAGTCTTACATTCCTCCCGCACCAATCTCGATCCCAGCACCAGCTCCGGCTGCAGTGTACCAGCCAACTAGCCAGCAGGTGCTCGAGGAGATCGAGCCCCAGTCTGCCGATGGCTACCGCTACAAGACCGTCCGTCGTCGCGTCTACCGTCGCCGCGTCTAAGTGCAGAACCCCAACCCCAACCCCAACCCGAACCCAAGCCAAACCAAAGCGAATCGCATCGAAATGTTTCCTAACGAACTCCCCAGGGAGTTTGCAATAAAGAATTCCTCCTTCAACTTGTTAAACAAAAAGAAACGAATCTTCAAATTGTTTTCCAATCATTGCAAATCACATGAGAAACAAAAAAAGTTTCTCCTGTGGCCAAAGATTGGGTGGGGAGAACTGCAGAAAACTCTTAAAGTCCTGGACAGGCTTTGGCCGTTTGATTCGCAAATTTATGAAACCGAACGAGATGTGGCAGGACTCGGGAAATCAACTTGCCATCAGACAGATAGCAGTGGCAGTGGAGAAGGGGCATTGCCAGGGATAATAAGGAGTTGCAAGCAAGTTGTGGCAGGCAGAGCCTCCCCAAGGAATCGTCCATTCTGCCATGCCATGCACTCCACTACAGTCCTCTCCTCTCCTCTGCACATTTATCACGAAATTTATGGCCTGGAATGAGCTTTGATGATGTGGAAATTTTTTCTCGTTAGATTCAAAGTTTCAAGGAAGCCACCCACAATCGATGGCAGCGACCGGAACTGGAGACTGGCGACTCGGAGCTGCTGGTAGTCGAGTGGATTGGCCTCATCAGAGCGGTGACCACTTGTGGCTGAACAAGGACATCGACAGGCGAGAGACTATAGACGATAGACGATAGACGCTCGAGCAAATTAACAAGAAAATGCAACGACAAACGTCTAAGGACCGCACCACACCACACCACTCACCAATTTGATTACGAAAATGTCTGACTCCGGGCCAGAGCCAAATGGGAGTTGCCACCTCCTGGCGGTGTCTGACTGGCTGTCTGGATGCCAGGACAGCCGCAAAAGCCACATATTAAACTTGCCACGCCGCATACTAATTAAAAAACAAAAAAAAAACACACACACACACAGAGCAAAGCAAATAAAGTGGCTCCTAAAATTACGAGTAATTGCGTAATTAAAACGAAATAATTTTCTCACCGCGACTCGCCTGCCGTGGGGCAGTGGCCCCTCTCGACCACAGAATGGTTGCGGGGCTTGGAGTTGTCCTTCCTGGCTTATATTGTTAATTGCATTTTGGTCAAATATTGGCAGCTCAATTAAATGAATTAAAATACATTTTTGCTTTGATGCAAAGCAAATAAACGTACAGCAGGCAAATTATTTGACAGCCAATTACAATTTATCGACAGAGCCCAGAGCCCAGAGCCCGGTGACCACCGCATGCCAATCCATGGGGATTAGATTTGTATTGTCATGCGGTTAATGAACTATTTAAGAATCGAAAACTAGCTAAACGCTATGGCAGTCTGTTGAGTTCCAATCCACTCGCATTCTGTCATTCAATCTAATTTCAATCAGAGATTAGTGGGAGCTGCAATATGGTCTGCATTGGCCAATTATCAGCCTCAGTGCGCACTCCCTGGCGCTCTGCTCTGCTCTGCCAGGCAGAAGAGCGGCGGTCGGGCCGCGATTAAGTAAAAAAACAACACGAAAACCAGGCCCGGCCCGGGATCGGCTTCGGCTTCGGCTGGTGCCCGAACAATTGACAGTTGGTTGCATTTCCCACCGCACTTAATTAGCAGTTAATGATGCCTGATTAACACGCATTATGACTCCGGTGCAATCGAATGAAACCTCTGGGTGGGCCAGTCCCACCTGTCGGATGTGTAATCGATGCTTTAGGCGCTTGGATTACAAAATAATCACGAGGCAGACACCATCGGCAGCCAGCCTAAAAGTATGCAAAAAGGGAAAACACACACACACAAAAGTGTGGGTAGAACCGGTTGTTAGTGCTAGACTTAAGGCTCCAACTATGCGACTAGACAATACCCTGCAAAGACATCAGCTACAACTTTGCTACAATGGAATAAATGTATGTACATCCAGAGTCCACAGTCCACAGTCCACAGTCCCCCAACTGAATCACAACCCTCTGGCTGGGCTTACTCTTTGTAAATCGAATGTAAAAATGGATGAGTCCCCACCCTCCCGGAAGGCGGCCTGCGGCAGGCGGCAGGCGGCAGGCTTACGGCTTTAAAGTGACAATGCGAAATCGAAGAGGGAGCAGCAGCAGGATTGGGGGCCATGGATGGGTGGAAAATTGACAGTATCAACGTAATTATATCGCCAGTTCGAAACCAAAAACAAGCAAAAAAAAGTATTTTGAAAAGGGAAAAACGAAAAACGAGAAAGCAAACGTTGAGGGGTGTGCGGTGTGGTGTCGGCGGTGGGGCAGCCTCTGAAATATGCAAACGTTGACTGCCTTCATTTATTTTTACTGTTACTGCATATTGGGCGACATCGAATGCCAGAGCGGCAGAGCGGCAGGCCGGGAGCGCGGGAGAGGGCAGGAGCGCGAGCAAGAGGCGCGAAAATAATCGTTATCCTGGACAGGTGGGCCCCTCGCTGGATGCCAGCAGTTGCTGCACTTCATTTGCAGCATTAATTTGTCGCCCGTTGATTTATCTGGCGAAATGCATACACACACACGCGGATGCACGATGCTGCGAATGAATTTATGAGCTGTGGGGCAGCGTACGTGCAGTCGAACGACGAAAAATGTCGAAAATCGATTGTTAAGCGTTTGTCAGCCACAGCTTGAAGTTGGTCATGTCAAAGCACTCCACGAACAACTGACTGTTTGTTGTTTGCCCCCGAGGCAGTTGAATGCATTTTGAATATTTATTAAATCAGCTTTTTTCTGCAACAAAACAATGCCAAAAATGGAGTAGTTATGCAAATGTGAATGCGAAATGAATACGATCCGATCCGAAGCGTGTGACGCTACAGTCCACAAAATAGTGATTCAATTCGACTGGACACAGGGACAGCTGGGTCAGCTCTAAGCCGTGGCTTTAGGTCGTTGAACCTTATTCTATCTTTTGCAGATCTGTTGAGACAATATGCCTAATGGATTGGCAGCCTGTGCTGCTAATTTGTGAAAGGAGTCGAAGCCAGCTTAAGGCAACAAACAACAAATGGAACTTATGGCACTCCAAATTGAAGCCAATTCCGTCAGTCAGTCAGTCAGTGAGTCAACTTGTAAATGGGGTTTATATTCGCTTCTCGTTGGCTTGTTGTGGCATTTTGCAGGATTGTTATTTCTATTCGCTGCTCCGCTCCAATGCGCCACATTGGTTGGCTATCCCGAGCCCCCTCCCACCGCTATGCATGTCAAAGAGCTGAATTACGCATACGCAGCGTTGCATGTCCAAAATGGCTTTGCGGGCCACACACTGCCATTGCTATTGTTGTTTGCTCGAAATACATTTGCAGTTTCAATTTATTGGCGCTACGAATGGAATTGTCAAAATAAAAGGGGGTTAAGTGCTTGTTTGCATAGCTTTTGTGACATTTTGCAAGCATTTTTTGCTGCTTTTATTTTGTGCTCTCTTGCAGTAAACGAAATTCAACAAAAATTAAATCAGAGATCGGCAAGGCGACGCCCAAGTGTCTCCCAGTTGCATTTTTTGGCACCAGCCACCAGCCACCAGCCAGGCAGCAACCGAAAAAGTTGTTCATTAGCCATTTGTGTAATTAAAAGAGCGAAAGCAAACTTGTGGACAGAGACTGAGAGCAGCCACTTGTGTTCCTGCTCCCTCCGTCTGGCAAATTTGTTTTCCGCCTCGTGCCACTTGGCGTCCGTCTAGCTGGCGTCATGTTCAACTTTTGACCCGATCGAAACGAGTGTCCCCGAGTCTCGCCCGACCGGGCTCCCACGCATATCTAATTAAAGCCATAGGCCCGCAGTAGTCTCGGGCCACCACCTTATCACGGCTAATCAAGCAGATTAATGACAGCCGCTTGGACTTGCCATTCGGTGGGCCGTCGCGTCGTTTATTGACCAGTTTTTTGGTTTCGTTTTTTGATGATTTTTGTTTGTTTTTGGTTCATTTATGGCAGTTCAATTCGATACTCTAAGGCATAAATGTTTTTTATGCAAATCATATTTAAATTAAAGCACTGACAAAAACCAACAATTGCAAAGAGCGATGGACCCCGCGCTTGTGGCTTGGCTTTGGGTTTCAGCGACTTTTGCAGACGCTGCAGTGGGGTATTTATATGAAGTAGATGGGTGCAAAACTCTTACAGATGAGCATGAAATGTGAGAAATTTGAGGCTTCAAATTGTAGATCAAAGATGAGCTTCAACACACTCGAACAGAAATCAAACATCCATTCACGTGTGGGGTAGGGTGCCAGTGTCTGGGCGGCTAATAGTTTTTGGGGCTCGTAAAATTCTGGTTTCTGGCATATTAAGAGCTGAGGCTCTTAAGCGAGACCATGAGATCTTCGCACTTCTTTGTACTATCTTTAGTCTGTCTGTCGCTTCTGCACCGCGCCCCAGACGACATATAAATAGAGCCCCAGCGACCCGTCTAAGGCATACTAGTAGCGCCAACGTTCCAAGTAACACACACCTCAAGATGGTGAGTAGAGAGAGAGAGAGAGAAGAAAGAGGGGAAGGAATGGAGAGTTCATTTTGTGATTTTTTGTGCCCTGTAGAAACTGCTCGCCGCCGTTGTCCTCGCCATCCTGGCTGTTGCCCATGCCGATGTCTCCCATCTGTCGGGCTACAACTACGCTCCCGTGAGCATCCCAGCTCCGGCCCCAGCCCCAATTAAGATTGCACCCGCACCCGCACCAGCACCAGCACCAGTGCCCGTGAGCAGCTACCTGCCACCCCAACAGGCGCCAGCACCCATCCAGATTGAGGTGCCCGCTCCCGCACCCGCACCCGCACCAGTGGCTCCCGTGAAGGTTGCCCCTGCACCAGTCAACCAGTACATTCCACCCGCAGCACCAGCACCAGCACCAGCACCCATCCAGATCCAGGTTTCCGCCCCAGCACCAGCGCCAGCACCAGTCCAGGTGTCCGCGCCCGCACCCGTCAACCAGTACATTCCCCCCGCACCCGTCAAGGCTGCCCCCGCTCCCATTCTGGCTCCCCAGCCCGTCCTCGAGGAGATCGAGCCCGTGTCCGCTGATGGCTACCGCTACAAGACCATCCGCCGCCGCGTCGTCCGTCGTCGTTACTAGAGTGGAGCTTCCACCACCAATCCTGCTCCTAATGCCACCAGGAGCGCAGGAATCTTACGAATAAAACAAAACGAATTTACGATACACGAAAAGAAATGATTTTGCTTTGTGGAAGAGTTTCAGGCAGTCCCTTAGAGATGAGAATCACAATCACTTTGACTGAAATGAGGGGACTACAGATGATGGAAAAGGTGTCAACAGTTCCCCTATTCAAATATATATGTAAAGACTCTTTTTCTAAGAGACAAGGGTGCTCCATAGAGATGGATTTTCTAGCGCGCTGCAGCAGCTCCTTGCAGCAGAAATTGTTGTATTTTTACCATAGAAGTCAGAGGTTGGCTTGGAAATTATAAATTCAGGGGATTGGCTTGATCATTCATGTATCTACAGAATTATGTATAGTTGTGAATGCCCAAAGGAACTGTTCTTACCGTTTGAGCCCTGGAATAATGCATACAAATAACCAAAATTCAGCTCCCAAAATAAACTGATTTACATGCCACAGATGTTCGATGTTCGGGGCAAATCTAGTCTGAGCTGAGCTGAGCTGGTCTGGGCAATTAATTAGCCAGGAAGAGACATGAATATGATCTGAGCAAATTGAAATTAGTTTTGGCACAGACACGCAGCAACGCCATAGGCTGGCCAGGTGGCAGGCAGCAAGCAAAACAAACGCGTGTGATCCGCGAACATTAATCAATTGGCAAAAGATAAAACACACAAAGCAAAACCTAAAATATAAAAATACATCAAAATGAATTCAGTTTTCAGCATTCAAATGGAAATCATCCAACAGGTTGGCTTTGGTTTTGTTTGGTTTGGTTTGGGTTTGATCTAATTAAAGAAGCTTTTTGTTGTCGAATCGAGTTGGCCAAAGTCAAAGCAATTTCGGAATGCATTGTCTTAGACCGACAACTGAAACTGAAACTGAAACTAAAGATTAAAGATGAAACTGAAACTGAAACTGAAGCTGAAACCAGAAAACCCGTCAAACCACCTTGGCATTGGTCGTGGCAGTCGCAGCTTTTTGGTTTATCTTCCGACTATGAAATTGACATGGCAAGACGAAGACTACGACCAAGAGCATAAGCATAAGCAAGACCAAGACCCCCAGGTATTGTGAGGGCAGCTGTGCAATTAATTTTGACTACGGTTGACCCGAAACGACCGCAAAACAATGAGCTATAAAAACAGGCGGCACGCATGTGGTACAGCAGCACAAATCAACTTGTGATCCAAGCAGCAACAAGCAACAAGTTCTCCTCCAAGATGGTAGGTCCACCAGAAACCACCTGCAGGATGCTGCAGGCTGCCAGCTACACTCACATTATCCTTTATCCTGCCTCCTGTAGAAATTCCTTATCATTGCCGTCGCCTTTCTGGCCTGCGCCTGCGCCGATGTCTCGGAACTGGCTGGTGCCTCCGGCTACGATTATCCTCAGCCAGCTCCAGTGAAGTCCTACGTCCCACCCCCACCACCGCCGGCGCCCAAGAACACCTACATTCCCCCTCCAGCTGCGCCGGCCAAGGCCTACATTCCTCCCCCACCACCACCACCACCACCAGCACCCAAGAACACCTACATCCCTCCCCCAGCAGCTCCCGTTGAGAGCTACATTCCCCCCGCAGCACCAGCACCCGCCTACATTCCCCCCGCACCCATCCAGGCCGAGGAGCCCATCCAGGAGTACGAGCAGCCCGCCCAGGACGGCTACCGCTACAAGACCGTGCGCCGTCGCGTCTTCCGTCGCCGCAACTAAGGCCCAAGGACCCCCCAGGACTTCCCCAGCAATTGTTAAATAATGTGATAGGCCATCTGTTGATGTTTTGTTGAAATCCAAGATGGAATTCGATTCGAAGGAGTGCAAATAAATAATGAAAAGCAAAAGCACAGTGGATATCCATTCATTGAGAGTAGTAGGCGACGCTTGTTCCCTATAAATAATGTCATCATGTCCCGTAGAATGATTGACAATCCCTCCGGAGTCTTGCAGACCAACCCAGTGCCGATTGTAGCCCAATTGGCCATGGAATATCTGACAGAGAACAGCGAGGATGAGTATCGTCAGAGGCGGAGTGGCAGTGCGACTTGCTGCAGCGCTTTCGACTCGTTTCTACGTTGGATTCCGGTGATCTTTATTGGCGCGGTGCTGGTCTATTCGTACTACGTGTACGTGTGGCACTTGTGCCTGCACAAAATGCCAAACGCTGCGCTGATGGGTGCACTTCTGCTCTGGTATCACCTGCTGCTGCTGATGTTCCTTTGGACCTACTGGCGCACATTACGGACAAAGTGCAGGCCCATCCCTGATGAGTGGAGCATCCCGGAAGCGGATTGGGTGCGCCTGCAGCGAGCCGACGGTCTGGAGGAGCGAAGGAGCATTCTGGCAGCCATTGGCCGGGCACTGCCCATCACGGTGTGCGATCAGAACGGTGTCGTGCGGTACTGTGTCCACTGTCGGCTGATCAAGCCGGATCGGGCGCACCACTGCCGCATCTGTGGCTGCTGCATCCTCAAGATGGACCACCACTGCCCCTGGGTGAACAACTGCGTGAACTTCCACAACTACAAGTTCTTTCTGCTGTTCCTCGCCTACTCCTCGCTCTACTGCCTGGACATTCTGGTGACGCTGATGCTCGACCTGCACCAGGCCTGGGGCATTGACTTTGACAACGTGGACATGGACTCGCTGCTGACCATCATTCCCATGATCTTTGCCTTGATTTTCACCACGGCCGCACTCATTATGCTGGGCATGCACATTTACTTTGTGCTGTTGAATCGCACCACCATGGAGTCGGCATATTCGCCAACATTCTGCGCGGGTGGACGCACACGGAAAGCCTTCGATCTGGGCTGCTGCGAGAATCTGCGCGAGGTATTCGGCGATCGTTGGTACCTCTGGCCGCTGCCCATCTACAGCAGCCGCGGCGATGGCCTCACCTTTTCCACATCATACGAGAGTCGAGATGGATCTATCAGTTCTACTGCTGTGTAATCAATCGAAAGAGAGAGAGAGAGTTGCACTCTCCAATACATTTTTATTTACGGTTCCCGCCGAGTGGCTTCCATCGATAAATCCTTCTCCACATGCTCCACACAGTCGTTTATGAAACGCTTAACATTCGTGACATATTTCGCATTTGGCTGTGCGCGCTCAGTGCAGAAATTTATAGACTTTATCCATTAGGAAAACAATTACGAGTGCAAACAATGGCCAGCAGCGTCCACCATGGGCTGTGTCGGGTCGACTCCCTGGCCTCGCCACAAGCATTGAGCATATGTTGAGATTGGCGCGCTGCTGCCTGGCTGCCTGGCTGCCAGTTCATTGTCCTGCAAGAGTCGCGTGGGGCGAGGGGGCGGGTGAAAAACTTTATATATTTTCTTATTATTTTGCCACAGAATATGCAGCGAGTGGACACGCCACGCAATGGGATGCTAGAGAAGGAGCCTGGCTGTGGCAGTGTCGCTGGCGACTTCTTGACTTGCTGCAACACAAATCCAATTACCTTCAAAATAATAAACTTATGTACATACCAAAAAGGAAGAAATGCCCTCCTGGCATCCCCATTCCCTGCACGCACATTTTGCCTTATCAACTGTTGATAGACTCCATGGGGAATTTTCCGTATGTCACGACAAAGAAGATCCTCTCTGGCTCTCCAGTCTCTCTCTGTCTGGGTGTCGTGCGGCATTTTCTTTCACATTTCTTCTTCTATTTTTTTGTTGTTTTTTTCTCTTTTTTTGTTGTCTCCTGCCAGAGACAGAGAGGGCGAGACCCGCTGGCTGATTTCCACAGCTTGTTTGCAGCTCATTATTCGCCTTTTGGCCGGGTCCACATACTTTTTTGCCACTTGCATGTCATCAGCATAAAGTGAGTGCAAAATATGTGAACCCAACTCGACGGAGGACGACTGCTCTCCACGCTCTCCACTCTCCGAGGCAGCACGGAAATTCGCTTTAGAGCGCAGAGTCAACATCAATTGGCCAAATGACTTGTAAGGGTAGAAGGGAAAGGGCCAGCCAAGTTTATTGAATTCGCATATTTTCCCATTTTGCAATATGGGCAAACATTTTTCCATTTCGCCATCTTTTGTTTTCCGTGCCCCCCGCCACCCTGCCCCCCTGCTCGCCTTCTGTTTGATTTTGTAATCGAGGATTTGTTTGCTTTGGCCCCAGACCTCAATCGGAGCTGGGGGGAGTCGATTCGTTGGAGTTGGACAGCTCATTGAATGTTTCAGCACAATTTTTTGGCCAAGTCAAATTGGTCTAGTCGTTGGTTTGACCTTTTTACTGCCAGTCGGATGAGTATCGAATGGGGTTGGCTGCTGGAATGTCTGTGTGTGGCCAGGACATGTGTTTGGCCTTGGGCGGTTTGTTTAGGATTTTCTGTGGCGCACTGGAGGCAGGCTGACTCTTGAAGAGGGTTTCTGATGGCTGTGCAAAAAGCGCTTGATATTGGCCGATGGGAACCTGTTGATAAGAACAATGGGGCAACTGCCAGGCCCCATCTAGGGAGCTGATATTTATGGGCTTTACGTGAACTATTTTGACCAAATTATTGTTACTTTATTCTCCTGTTCCATAAACTTTGACAATTGCCAAAGTAAACGCAAGACAACAAAACATTTCGCTTCAATTTTCACGAATTTTACTATCAAAGTGCGGATTGCGGATGGTTGGACCAATCAACGGCACTCAAGTGAACACAAAAACAATCTTAGGAAGAACCAACAATGGGGTGGGGGGGGAGGAGGTGGTGGACTTAGGCACGGTGACGGAAGACGCGACGGCGCACGGTCTTGTAGCGGTAGCCGTCCTGGGCGGGCTGCTCGATCTCCTCGATGATGGACTGCTCGGCCTGGACGGGTGCGGGTGGGATGTACTCGGGTGCTGGCGGTGCGGGGGGAATGTAGCTCTCAACGGGCGCCGGTGCTGGTGGTGCGGGCGGGATGTAGGTCTCCACTGGAGCGGGAGCGGGCAGCTCTGGCTGCTGGTAGTCGTAGCCGGACAGCTCCGAGACATCAGCGAAGGCGCAGGCCAGGAAGGCAACGGCAATGATAAGGAATTTCTGTAAACCAAAAACAAATAAGAATAGCAGTCTGGAGTGAGGATGATCCTCAACGTACCATGTTTGCTGGTTGTGTTTGTGCGACGATCAACGGCAGATGTGTGCTGTGGCATCGATGATCACCCGCGGCTTTTATACGGATAAGCACTGCGCCGGCGGCAACGGAAGCATCACCATTAGGCCATGTGCCGCAGATGACTTTGAACTTGATCTGCGATCCGCTCTGTCGAGAGCTTGATGGATGTCTCGCACGGGATGGAACCGGTTGGCCCTGCTCGTCGCGGCTCCTAATGCACAGTGCTCTGTGGGCCGATCTGCAGATTAATGGGGAAATATGATCACGTTTCGGTGGGGCTTTTGTTCGTGCGCAGCCCAATGCATTGGTCCATCGATATGTGGTCTCTGGGAGGTCATCGCTGGCTGCTGCGCTTCCATTTGGAGTTTTGATTTTGAGTGTCGTTGTTTGTACATATTTTGACTTTTGGCTTTTGTTTTCTCGCCTCAAGTGGTGTGGGGTGCAGCCCTTTAATTGATTTGCTTGTTGAGCAGCGGCCTTGGGCTCGGCCCCCGCATGGAAAAAGACATGGATGGCTCTCGGCGGCTTGATTAAAGCCAAATTTAATTTGCATTTCAGTTTTGTGGCGCTGTTTACCGCCGCTCCTAACACCCCAATTGTACAAATTTCAGCCCGGAATGGTAGAACTTGATTTCAGCGCTCCTGGGAAAAGGGTGGAACACAAAGGGGCAACACGCTGCCACAGTGGGAGGAATAACGTAGTTTTTGTGCATATTTTAAGGTTTATTTGATGTGGAAACTTTAGTTCTTACAACGGTTTTTATTATTTTATAATTAATTTCTTGATTTTGAACAGTTTTCTGTGGGAAAATGTACTTGCTGTGGCCGGCCCTACTGTTCCGCTGTCTTCCATTTCCTTTACAATTCCCTTTTCGATCTGCCCCTCCCCCCGAGTCAAAGTTTCATTTCATTTCCGTCTTATTTTTATTTTCACAATTTTCATTTGTTTGCGCTCTGCCGTCCAGTGTCTTGCCACTGCCTGGTTTTACTTTTCCAGCTCTTGATAATATTGCAAATAATTTTCTTTTTTATGTTGATTATTTTTTGGACAGCCTCACCCCCACTTCCCCCTACCAGCAGCAACGCAGCGCAGACACCTGAGGACTGAGGAGTACCTGGACCGAGTCTCCCTTTACGGCATTTTTATTAACTTCATTTTCATTTGGGCCGCTGCTGCCGCCTTCACGAGCTCATCATATTTTAATGTGGAAGGGATTCGGCTATGGCGGCATCGTCTTTTGGCTTTTCCTTCTGCCTTGTTCTATGTTTCGAATTATTCTCGAGAGATTTGCAGTTCGTGATTTTAGCGGGTAATTTTATTGGAGGAAGGAGTTCTACGCTCACTCCCACCCCCTTTGAAAGGGGGTTGCAAAAGTATCCAACCGAATGGCAGCTGTTGTTGAGACATTCCACAATTGCAATTGCAGCTTTGGCTTTTAATTACCGCGCTTAAGCCGGTATTAACTCTGGCCTAAGCCTTTTTTAATTTGCCCCAACCCCCTACCTTCCATCTCAGAGTCAACCCCTGAGGGCTGTCGTAATTGAATTAGGAACCAGGAGACAATGCAGCGTCGCAGAACCTTTCACGCTGTTATCCTTGATAATTAATTTAGACGCCATTGTCCAGTGCAGTGTCCCCAACTCCAAAAGTTGGCAAATCCTTTGCTATTTCACGTCACGTGCCACATTCTTCTCGTTTTGCTGTGTTTTTCTTTCTCTCTTTCTCGTTTTTTGTATGTGTCCATAAATTGCCCGGACCCACAAAGTTGTCCAACAGGAGGAGGGGCCCCTGGCCGAAAAGATGAAAAGAAAACTCCCATTTTTTTATGGAAAAAAAATGAAGCGGCAGTTCTGACAACGCACGTCCATCCAAAGAGGACTAGAGCCGAGGTCCAGGTCATGTGGCTTGCATATGGAACTACAATAGACAGGTACAAGATGCACACGTAGCACGCGCCGCTGGAGTCAGTCGCATGAGGCGAAATATGGAATCACCTTTTTGCAGGCATCGAGTTTGCCTTGCCTCTAACTCTGACTCTGTCAGAGTGGGCCAGGCACAGTGGAAGTGGCAGTGGCAGGCAGCAACAGCACCGACCATAATTAAATGTCAAAAATGACGCTACGTGCAGAGCAAGCAAATCAGCTTGGCTCGGAGGCACCGCACGACGAGTGTCGGGGCAAAAGGTTCAGCCCATGCGAAGAACTTCTTTCCACTCAAAACTGAAACTTTATCAGAAATACTTAAGGAATATACTACAAATACTTAAAGAAATCGAACCAAAACGCCAGCACAAGTCTTTAAAAATTCCGTTGAATACTTTTGGGCAATTCTCTCTGTCTGTGTACCAGGCCAAACCACGAACCTAAAGGTCCATGGTTCAAATCCCACTTGAGTCAAACTAAAAACTAAATGTATTTGTTCTCTTTTTTTACAGCTATTCGTCCACTCCACGAAACTTTTCCTGGTATGTATCAATTTATTATTTCTATTATCAAAAAATACCCATTTGTAATCGCTTAATTTAGTGCCACAAACTTTTGCACAAAACGGAATAAAAAATTACCAAGAGAAAAAAACCAGCACTAAAAGTAATTTGGCGCTGTTGTCCCTGTCCCGTCCCTTCCCCACCGACAGCAAAACTCTCGAAAAAGTGGCAGGAACTATTTAAAGTTTCCCTTTGGCTGCTTTTCGTCCAATATGTATCGTACTTTTTATTGCCATTCTCTATTATTTGCTGCCCCTCCCTTCTGTTGTTGCATATGCATATTATGCCCCGGAGTCACAGGAGTATGCACGTCCCGCAGTGCCCCTCCCGTTACAAAAGCAGACAACAGCAACGACTCCGGGGAGGATGG